GGTGGTGAGAACTCAAAGCCTCTCGAATTTGGGGAACTGTAGAGGGTCCCCCCAGACCTCTACAGTTCCACACTAGGGCTAACATTGATCATCCTGGGGCTATTTGGGGCTGGCTTCCTCCACCTCTATCCTCGATCTCTTTATTTTCTTCTTTCCATCTCCCTTGGAATTCTGCATCTGATCATCTTCTTGAATGATAGAAAGAACATCTCTATCTCTCTTGCTTCCTGCTACTGCAATCTGGGATTTATGTTGTAGCTCTGTTTGTACCTGTTTATTCACTCTTGGGGTTATTCTTTTCCACTGTCTGTTTTTCTGTATGGGAGTCTGTTCCCCTTGTCTTTGTGGGCTCTGTTCCTGAATCTCTACCTTTATGAGCTCCATTCTTTCCTCTTCCCCTTCAGGTATTAATTTCAGGCTCCAATCTTTCTCTTTATGCAAGGTTTGTGATGTTGAGGCTTGGTTTGTCTCCTTTTCTATCCCCACATTTTTGTTACCTTCTTTAATTGCTAGATGAGATGCTGACTCAGCCACACATGGGCTTTTGGCTGAGTTCCCTTTCATAAGCATCTGGTTTTGATCTCTTTGCTCCGAGGATATGTTTCTTTCATTGGACTTGTTGGCTGTTGGCTCACTTGTATTAGAAGGGGGAGGAGATTCTGATATATTCACCCCTTCCATAGCTTTTAGCCACTCCCCGTACTGCCCATCTTTAAGTTCTTTCTTTATTATGACCTCCTTTCTTATTGGGCAATTCTTATCACTATGACCCAAAATTCCACAATAGTAGCAAAGACTAACAAGCTTCTTATATTTGAATTACACTGTGACAATTTGTTCGCCCAATCTTATAGAAGTCCACCTTGGAATTGGCTTCCTGACATCCAGACTAACCTGAAGACGAAGAATTCTGCTACCTTTAAAACCTGCTTTTACTAGCATCACATTTTTTATATCCATAAATGCATTCCCTATCTTCAGCCAAACATCTGTGCTCATCCAATTGATAGGCACCCCCTGTGCTTGTACCCATACAGTCAATTCATTGAAGCTAGGATGATTTTCTGATAAACCCTCTTGCCATGGCTGCACAATTAAGTATTGGTTCTCGAATATCCAGCATCGCCCCATATCCACTTTCTGCAGTGCTTCTCTATTTGGAAAGAGAAATTGGAAGTAGTTGTCACTCAATTCTCGAACTTCCAGAGCATTCCCCATACGCCAAAGTAGACCCATTTTCCGTTTCATGCCCAACCAGTTCGCTTTTTTATCATCTATCCCTTTCCCAAATAGGCTTCGGTTGCATTCCTCTGCACTGAATCGCACTTCATTTTCCTCGATGTCGATAATTAGCTTCTCCGCATCTGCGATTGAGATTTGCCCTAATTTTAGCCCTAATTTTTCGTCCATCCTTCAACTCGCAGAATACCCAATATACACTTCGGGCTTCTAACCTCTTCCAATATTCTCACCTTAAAAGTCGAAGAGAAACCTCCTATCGGAGAAGAATGCTCTCACCACAAAAGAAAAAAGACTCTCACCACGAGAGAAGAACAATTCCAGATGTTTTACCTGTAGAGAAAACTTCATTTAATGTGTGATAATTAAATAATGCACAATGGACAATGCACACAATACACAATCTGAAAATT